GAAATCCACTAAAATAAATATAAAAACTGTTAAAGAAAGATATCAATGTACAAAGAGATCAGGAAAGGTTGCAACAAAACATTGGAAAATGGAAAACAGAAAAGCAGTAATACGCTTAGGTAATGTAAAAGGAAAACTCTTAACCCAGACTGAAAAGAAAAAACAAAAACTTAAATTTAGCCTGAAGAGAGCTGGGGATTTAGCTCAGTGGTTCCGTTGCCTGCCTTGCAAGAGCAAGGACCCAAGTTCGATCCCCGGTACCAAAAAAAAAAAAAAAAAAAAAAAAATTTACCCTGCAAAAATCTCAAGTGGCTCAAGAATTAGTCAATGTCCCTGAATGTAGTTGTTAACATAGGGCTGAAAACTAGAGAACAGGTTAAAAATTAAATTTATATAGCGTAATATAGAGGCACATTCCTATATATCAGGAGAGTTGAAAAGTACAAGCCCCGCCCAGGCAACTTAGCCCAACCCTGTCTAAAAATCAGACATTTAAAAAAGAGGGCTGGTCCTGGTGTGAATAATCTGCAATAATACATAAAATCCTAATAAGATTACTGACATTTAGAAATGGGAAGAAAGGAGCTGAAGGTGTAGGGAAGGTGGGATGGGTAGGGGAAGAGTAATAAGGGAAGAGAAAAAATGTTGAGATAATGAAAAGATGAAAATAAAGTGTTTGTAGAAGGGGGTGAAGGGAGGGCAGGGGTAAGGGGAAAAAATGAGAATCAAGACTTGTCATGTAGAGGTACAAGATCCCAACAATGAATGTAACTGTACTGTATCCCTAAAATGTACCAATAAACTCAATTAAAGCTGGAAAAAAAAAAAAAAGAGGGCTGGGGGTGTAGTAGCTCATTGCACATGCCCTGGCTTCAATCACTAGCACTGCAAAAACAATTACATGCTCAAATACCATTCTCCTCTCCACACAGCCAAGAGTGCTTCAATCTGGGAAGATCAGAAGTTTTGTTTTGTTTCTTTCCTCCAAAAAGGAAATTACAGACTGCCTCTGGCCTGGGGGACATTAACCACAGTTGAGGGTGGTGCACCAGACTGAAAGAAGGAAGATTCGGTTTCAGGTAATCTATACTGTATATACAACTGGAGCTGAGACTATCTTTATTTAGGGAATATGAACAGCCCAAATTACCAAAGATACTAAAGATGATAAAATGAATGGATTGGGTGGATTTGGAGTTTCTAGCTAAGTTTTTAGTGCCCACTCTTAAATATATGTTAACAAGGCTCAACAGACCCTGATGAAAGATAAGACAGAAACCAATGAACAATAAGAGGTTTAACAGAAACATAAGACCTAGAAATACACAATTAGGGAGATAGAATATATAAACACTGAGGACCCTGATAGACTCCACTGAATTTGGAGCACAGTGAATAAATGTTCAGGTGGGCTGGGGATTTAGCTCAGTGGTTCAAAAAAAAAAAAAATGTTCAGGCAGTAAGATGTGTTGAAGAGGTATTTGAGGGACAAAGCACAAAGCATTTTCTACGTTCCACTCAGGTGGTTGTATTTCATATGATTAGAGTATGGGACACTAATGAAGAATACAAAGAGATATATGATCATATGTGCATTCTGACAAGTGTATTCAGATACCCCTACGGTGGACAGATTGAAAAGGGAACAAATTATTTGCAGAGTGACAAATTAAAAGGTGACAGACAATTTAAACATGAAAATATAAGCCTGAAATGAGACTAGAATACTACATTATGTGACTATGAAGATACAATTGTGTCTTGTACTTAGAAGATACAATTTTGGACTTAGGAACCAGTTGGATATATGAAATGGAGGACAGGAAAGACTTAAAAACTCTCCTCAGTCACAAGTTTTAGTCTAACATGGACAACTTATCCAGACCTTATCTTGAAATAAAAAATAAAAAAAGGCCTTGGGATAGCTCTGTGCAAAGGTGTAATGTTCAATCTTCAGTACTTGAAAAAAAATGTTTTACAAATTTTCACTTGGGCAAGTTGATGTATGCTGATGGCATTAATGGAAATATGGGATACAATGGTACTCCCTTATTTGCTATTTCAGTTAACCAAGGTTTGCTACTGTCACAAAATATTAGTATTTGTCTTGACTCTTTCAAGGCTACATTCATTTAATTTTAATTATGGTATACTGACTGTTATTCTTGTTTAATGTTATTGTTGATCTCATTCCTAATTTACAAATTAAATGTTAGCATATGAATATGTATAGGAAAAACAGTATACTATATTTAAATCTTGGTATTATTTGGAGTTTCAGGCAGCTAAGAAGCATGGGGAGAATGTGACTATAACATAAAATGAGCTAGAAGTATGAGGAAAATTGTGAATTTAGGATATGTCAAATAAGAAGTGCTTACAAACACAGCTATCTAGTAAATGGATTGAAAACTGGATCTGGAGCTTAAGTGAGCTGTCTAGGCTGGATCTAGAAATTTAGATTTGGTTATTAATTAGATCACCCATATAGAGTATAAAGGACAGAAATTTCAGTGTGTGCAGGTACATGCCTACATAAAAGGGATGGCTGAGAGTCCTCTAGAGAACTACTATTGTATTGTCTATCTATTGTGGCACCCCTCAGATGCACTGTGGCAAATGTTTATAAGAATCACAGATTTAGAAGACAAAAAAGAGTTGAGCTCAGAAGACTAATGAGATTAACATTTAGGAGGCAGAAGAAGGAAAAAAAACAAAAACAACCCTCAGCGACCAAAAATGAGTGATCAGGTAAGTAGAGAAAAAAATTGGAGGAAGTTATAACAAAAGATTTAAAGTAAGAACAGATGATAATAACCTAATATCTATGTCTCATAGTATATGCCCTGAAGAAATATGAAGCACACAGGGGAATAGGGGAAAAATAAGAATTAAGATATATTACGTAAAGGTACAAATCTCCAATGATGAATGTCATTATATTGTATACGTAAAATGTACCAATAAAATTAATTAAAAAAAAAGAAATATGAAGCACCTAAGGCTTGGTTCCACTGCAATCTGAGCTTGGAATCTCTTGAAAGACTGACAAGAGAAAATGATAGGATAAAAAGAACACAACAGAGGGTCAACAGTACATATCGTGAAATTGACTAGCTTATTTCATAACTAGTAATACATTTTTATGGAGCATTCTCCAAACTAATCTTCAATGAGTTTGGACATCAGACATAAATTGCTACACAAATACAAGAGGCTTGTTTTGCTTTGTTTTAATTGCTTTCAGTCCTGGGGATTGAACCCATGGCCTTGTGCAAGTCAGAAAAGTGCTCTATCACTGACTGACCTGTATACCCAGCAAGTAGGTAGTAATTTAAAATATACAAAGTAATGGCAATCTTTTACAAATATTTTATAAGCTATAATACAGCACCTAATTGATCATGTACAGTTAATTCAATCTAAAATATTCTGTAAGAACTACTTAATTTCCAAGCAAATTTACCAAGTGCCAAATTTGAAATAATTAGGCTTATAAACACTTTAATAGATGTTTCCTTAGTAAGTCTGTAACCAACAAACTTAGAACTTACAGTGTTTAAGATTACTTAAACATTAGTCACCATTATTTTTTCCTCCTCTTCCTTCTCTTCCTCCTCCTCCTCTTCTTCTTCTCCCCTTCCCCTTCTCCTTCCTCTTCATCCTCTTCCTCCTCTTCTTCTTCTTTTTTTTCCCCAGTACCAGTACCAGGTCAAACTCAGGACCTTGCACTTGTGAGGCAGGTGAGGTGCCATTGAGCTAAATCCCTGGCCCTTAGTCACCATTATCTTTATCAAGATTTACTTTAACTTGAACATTCAGTTCATAAGAAAGTAAGAATATAAAATTATAGCCCATTTTAAAAAATAACAGATAAAAGACTAAATAAATGTATTAAAATGTTAATAGACAGACAACAAATTTTTACTTTCTTATTTCTACCTTATACATTCTTCCCAATGGATCCATATTACTTTTGTAACAAGAAACAAAACTCTAACATAGTTTCTTCTCAGTTTCTGCACAGGAGAAAACTACTGAAGATATACAATATCAATTATTGATATCTATTGTAAGCACACATATTTTCAGTTGTAAAGGTTTCAGGCCTCCTATAGCAACATAAACTCAGGGAGGGTAAATGGGTTTATCTTTTCTATATGTTACTACATACCTATGCTCTGCAGGGCCTAATAAAAAAGGTGTAAAGTTTGGTCCCTGGTACCAAAACAAAACAAAAATTGTATAAGATGAATTCCTGATTGTTAGAACAATAAATTTTCCCTAAGCTAATGTTTGTTATGGTTGAACCCAACAATTTAATAAATCCAACCCTATATTTAAAAATGACTATATATAATTTTGTATGTTTTTATTTTTCTTTCAGCTATTTAATTTCATTTATTTAAATTATAATTCTTAGGATTTTAAGATGTACTGTTAATAGTTCTTCAAAAGCTCTACCTTTTTTTTTGGTACTGGGGATTGAACTGAGTGCTAACTCTTTCAAAGTAATTCTGAAAGAACTCTAATATTCTTATACTTACTTGATCATAAGTATAAAATATATTGTTAAATTTAACTCTTTCTAGGGCTGGGGATTTAGTTCAGTGGTTCTGCTGTCTGCCTCGAAAGCGCAAGGACCTGAGTTCAATCCCTAGTACCAAAAAAAAAAAAAAAAAAAAAAATTTACACTTTCTAACCATTCCACTTTAGAATGGTTGATAGCAAACTAAATCAATATAGAAAGAGTTTTAAAAATTCAGTAAAAAAACACTGAATGTAAAAGTTTAATAGGCAAGCTGAGGGTAAGCTAAGTGGCACCTAATAGAGCTGTGTGCAGTGAGTGGTACATGTCAGTGATCTCAGCTACTCCAGAAGCTGAGACTGCAGGATTACAAGTCTTAGGCCAGCCTAAACAATGCAGTGAGACAACCACCCCCATCTCTAAATAAATATATACTAACTGTACTCAGATTAGTTATAACAAATCCACTCACTTTTTAGGTCTTCACATCCCCTCTCATACAAACAGGTCAAGTTACAAAATTCTAGAAAAGAATTACATGAGCACACTGATTAATCAGGTTGCTCAAGGGAGGATGAGCTGTTGAAGAATGCTAAATACCTAACGCTTACCTACTTAAATTCCAAAATTTATCGCAACAACTAATTTTAAAAGAAACATTTCTAAAATGTTTAACCTATTTTTCTTTTAGGCAGAATGTACTCAAGATAGTATAATCTTTGAGATAACCTAAGGATATGATAGCAATATATCAAAATTATAATTTTGATTATTCTGAATGATACTTAAGGATCTATACTGATACTTTCTGGATTTTTTCCCCCTTCCTGAGGGTGTTGCAGACCGCCACAGATTTTTTATTTTCTTTTTACCTCTTGCTAGATCTTCCTTTGCTGTATGCTTATGAGTGCTCTGCTTGCTTGTTTCCAGCAGAATACTTTTCTAACTAGTTTCCCAATCTATAGTAAATAAGACACAACAAATCAATCAAATTCCACTCATTAAATGTTCTGTCTCTGGCAGTTTTTGAAGAATTCATACCTTAATCATACTCTACAGGATATTATGAGAGCCCAGAGGCTCAAATCTAACTCAGATCCTGAGCATTTCAGAGATCACTTCCTGGAGGAGCTAATTACTCAACTAAAACATGACAAATAAATAGGACTACCAAGACCAAGTTGGATTCATTCCATGGATGCAGGAATGGTTCAACATATGCAAATCAATAAATGTAAAACACTATGTTAACAGTGCCAAGGTCAAAACTATATGATCTTCGAAATAGATGCAGAATAAGCATTTGATAAAGTCCAACACCCACTCATGATAAAACCCTACAGAAAATTGGTATACATGTTCTTTATCTTAATCTGATAAAAGCCATCTATGACAAACCAACAGCCAACATCATACTAAATGGACAAAAACTAAAAGCTTTCACTCTAAAATCAAGATTAAGACAAGGATGTTCACTGTCACCACTCTAGTTCAATGCAGTTGTGGAAACACTAGCCAGAGCAATTAGACAAGAGAAAGAAATAAAATGAACAAGGACAGGAAAGGAACAAGTTAAAATATCATTGTTTGCAGATGACAAGATACTCTACATACAAGAACCAAAAACTCCACCAAAAGGCTTCTAGATTTGATAGCTAAATTCAGTAGCATCGCTAGATACAAAGTCAACACTCAAAATTCAATAGCATTCCTGTACATGGATAATAGGCTGAAAAATTAGAGAAACAACCCTTATCACAATAGCATAAAAATAATCTAGGAATCAACCTAACGAAGGAAGTAAAAGGCCTTTACATTGAAAACTACAGCACTCTGAGAAAGGAGATTGAAGAGGATATCAGAAAATAGAAGAACATCCTTGTTCTTGGATAGGAAGAACCAATATAGTGAAAATGGCCAAATCTCCAAAATTGTTACAGATTCAATGCAATCCAATCAAAATTCCAATAGCATATCTCACAGAATTAGAAAAAACAATTCTAAAATTCATTTGGAGCCAGAAGAGACCTAGAATAGCAAAGGCAATTCTGGGCAACAAAGGCAAGGCAGGGGGTATCACAATCCTTGATTTTAAATTATACGACAAAGCTGTGGTAATAAAAGCATCACGGTACTGACAAAAGAACAGACCAAAGGATCAATGAAACAGACTAGAAGAAGTAGAAACAAGTCCAGACATATTCAACCACCTTATCTTTGACAAAGGAGCCAAATACCTTCACTGGAAAAAAGATAGCCTCTTTAATAAATGGTGCTGGAAAAACAGGCTTTCCATATGTCAAACTTTGAAACTAGACCCCTATCTTTTACCCTGCACTAACCTAAAAGTGAAATGGAGCAAAGATCTAAACATTAAAACAGAAACACTAAATTTGCTGGAAGAGAGAATAGGTAGAATACTGGAGGACATAGGGGTAGGAAAAGTCTTCAAGAACAAAACCAAGACTGTATGGAAAATACTACAAAGAATCAACAAGTGGGACCTCATTTTATTAAAAAGCTTTAGTTTAGCAAGAGAAAACACCAACAGAGTGAAGAGACAACCCACAGAGTGGGAAAAAACTTTTACCAGCTACTCATCAAAGGACCATTATCTAGAATATATAAAGAACTCAAAAATATCAGACCCCCCCCAATGTAAAAATGGACACCTGAATGAAAAGACACTTCTCAGATGAAGAACTAGAAACTGCAAATAAATATATGAAAAAATTTTCAACAACACTGGTCATGCATTAAATGCAAATTAAAACAATGCTGAGATTCCATCTCCCAGAAAGAATGGCCACTATCAAGAAATCAACCAATAACAAATGCTGGAGGGGCTGTGGGAAAAAAGAAACCCTTCTCCTCTGTTGGTGGGAGCATAGACTGGCACAACCATTGTGGAAATCAGTATGGAGAATTCTCAAGAAACTAAAACTAGAGGTTTCATTTGACCCAGCCATACCTCTTTTTGCTATCTTCTCCCCAAAATTAAAAGCATCATACCACAGCGATATATGCACACCCATGTTTATAGTGGCACAGTCTGTAATAGCTAACTCTTGGAAACAGCCCAAATGCCCATGAATCCATGAGTGAATAAAGAAGATGTGGTTTTTGTATGCAATTGAGTATCACTCTGCCATAAAGAAGAATGAGCTTCAGACATTTAGAGCTAAGTGGATGGACCTTGAGACCATAGTCTTAAGTGAAATTAATTGGACACACATATTTAAATAACACACTGTTTCTGCAGAGTGTGAAACCAAAAGTAGAAATAAGGACTAAAGTATAACAGATATTGGGAAATGCAGAGAAAATATTCAAATGGGAAGGACAACAAGGGAGGAGGGAGAAAGGAAGGGACAAAAAATAAGTGAAAATGGAAACAAAGCTTTTGTACATTGGGAGGGGAGGTGACTTAAGGGGAGGGGAGAATAGGAAAAAGGGGTTTGATTTTTTAAAAAATTTAAAAAATAAATAGAATTTCATGGGCAAAATAATTGAGATAATAGGGCTGGGGATTTAGCTCAGTGGTTCAGTGCCTGCCTTGTAAGCACAAGGACCCAAGTTCAATCCCCGGTACCAAAAAAAAAAAAAAAAAAAAAAAAAAAAAAAAAAAAAAAAAAGAAAAGAAAAGAAAAGAATTGAGATAAATAGGTGGATGAAGAGATCTAGTGTACAGGTGGCAATCTAGTGTACTAAACTGTATTATTACAGTATGGTAATAAAAGTAATTATAGCTCACATTTATTGAACTCTTCTTATGTGAATTACCTTACCAAACCCACATATTAATTCTAGGAGGCAAATTATTCTCGTTTTATAGATGAGGAAACTACAGCAAAGAAAAAACTGCTGTACTCAGGGCTGCACACCTACCTTAGTGCTGGTCAGGTCTTAGCAGCCTGCTCTATTACTCATCCTCTTATATGTGTGTGTGTGTGTGTGTGTGTGTGTGTGTGTGTGTAAAATTATGAAAGCAAGAGAGAATCCAGTCTTTTCAACAATCTACCACAAATACTTTTCTAAAACCAGAAGACTGAACATATGCTCGAATATTGCAGAGAAGGCAGAAATCAGATCTGAAGAGCCTTCCATGCCAGACCTGGGTATTTGGATTTTATCCTGTAGGCATTAAGTACCATCTGGCAAAGGTGCTCTAAGATCACACTGCCTTTGACAAAGATTTTTGTGAAATTAGATAAAAATGATCAAAGGGTAGTAGTACAGGTAGGACTCACCAGAACTCTGTGTGAGAGGTAATTAAAAACTTGAACCAAAGCAACTAATAGAGCTGTAAAGAAGGTAAATAGGATGTGGAATTCATAGAAATTATGACCTAGATGAGGAAAATTGGTGACAGAGAATAATGAAAGTAACTGCATCTAAGACAGGGAACAGATTTTTTAGGATTGGACAGATGTGGTAAAAAAAGATCTATTTTAGACATCTTTGAGGTTCTTGTAAGATGCAACAATGTAAAAATAACCTCCCATTGAGTTTGTTATGTGCTATACAGTAGTCAAAGACTTTACATGTTTTGATTCTCCAAACTGTCAAGGTGAGTCTATGAGATATTACTATTAGTTTCTTTTTATGTGAGAAAACTGAGAAATAACTTGCCCAAGGTCATACGGCTATTAAGTACCTGAGTTGGAATTTGAACACAAGTAACCTGGATGAGAGATTTTTTTTTTAACCTTAATAGAGCCATGTCACCTGTATAGATAAGTATGGCACTCAGAAGAATGGTTTGGACTAAAAATAGTAAAGACATCATCAATATTTAAAGATGAAGTCATGAGTATTCAGTTAGGTATAGAGCATGCAGTCTAACTCTGAATGTGATTCTTTAATCACTTAAGTAAGAATATTTTGAGAGTCATTTTTTTTTTTTTTTTTGGTACCGGAGATCGAACTCGGGTCCTTGCGCTTGCAAGGCAGGCCACCGAACCGCTGAGCTAAATCCCCGGCCCTTGAGCCTCACCATGTCTTATCACGCTGTGGATGCCATTTTTTTTTTTTTTTTTGCCACTTCTTTTGTGGAATTTATCAAACTAACCTCTATCAGTTTAAAATGCATCATGTGTTGCACTTGTAGAGGGGTTTTCTTGTAGTAAATCACTGTACAATTTCCTGGTCTTTTCACCTGCTACCTGTTTCTCATTAAACCACACTAACAAAAATTTTCCACCTCTTCCAGCATTTATGTCCTCTCATCAAAAGTTATTCCCTTTGCCACATCAGCTCCTTTGATGGCACCTTTATTCTCCTTTATTCTTTAAAACAGTTGAGACTATTGACTTTGCCATCTAGTACTGAGCTACGCAAATACCACACTCATGCTTTTCTACAATTCCCTTCAATTCAATTATATTATTTGAAACTTTCTTTTTACCACTCTTGCTCTGCACTTTCTTGTTACCTTCATTATTGCTGTGCACATTCCACCAATCATGTCGGATTGAAAAATAACAGTGCAGTACTGTATGTGCTAAAAAGCACACCAAAAAG